CAGGTAACAGTTAATAAGCTAAGTATTTAAAAACCTTCTGAATGTTTATTGTGGAAATTTGTGTGTGCCACAGAAAAATGTGTTTGAAGTGCTTCATAGCAGATGAAAGCGTGTTTGCAAAGTTCCAAATGTGTCTGTCTTTGCCTGTATATTAAACATTCCTATGGACTGTGTCTTTAATATTTTTTCTTTTATGACATACGTTAGTTAAACTCAGTCTTCATGAGTCTTCATGTTACCTCATTCAGAGCCCATGTGTGCATGCTCACCTGTATTAGAGTATGTGTAGTAAGGGAAAAAGCAAGTGGTATAGAGACTTGATTAGGACAGGCTTATGACTGTGTGTATTGTCACACTGCTAAATCTTCTGAAAGTTTTCAAACTTAAAAAGAAAAATTTCCATATAGCATCACAAAATTTAGGTTCTGTAAATGCCACATTTTAGAGCCTATACAAGAAATTTGGAACGCTGTTGTTCTTTCCTGAGATAGTTTTTAGAATTTTGTTTTCAATCGTACTCTTCATCAAGCCTAGTTTCCTTTGCCAAGAATCATAATGCATGGGACTTTGAGGGAGAGAGAAAGTGTAAGTAAAATATATCTAAAAAACTAAGAAAATGCCCGGTTCTAAAATCTCCTTTCTGCAAAACATGGTTACAGGCTTGCTGCTGGAACTGTCGTGACTGAAAATAAGTGTTCAATATCTTACAGCACAATTTTAGAGTCCAGATTGATTTCAAGATTCTGGGTTTGAAATCTGTCAGTGATTAAGGAATATGTAACTTGGACTATAACTTGAGGGGGGAAAGAAACCTGTATTTGAAAAGCAGTTTTGAAAGCAGTGTAATTTGAACTAGGTGCTATTTAAAGTAAATTATGAGATTCAGAATTGTAATAGTAATGGGTAAACATTGCAATAAACCCCATTTTACAGTATAAAACAATAATACAGTTGTATATTTTGGTTTTCGTTGTGGCATAGTGAGGTTCTTTCAAAGCAGTGTTCTCAGCAAGAGGGATTTGTAGCTTTCCCTCTTTTCTCAAAAAAAAAAAGAATTGAGGCAAAAGTAAGTTAGTGGAAGGAGATGAGTAAGTGGAGTAAACTTGTGGTTACTTATCAGAGCTTTAATCACCACCAATGGATGTATAAATTTTTTTTTATATTGACCTAGTAAGTAGCTTCTGTAATTTTAACTTCTTAAGGTGGTGTTCTCCGTTTTCCTTGAACTCCTCACCTCACTTCCCTATTTTTCTCTTGAACTGCTTGATTTTTCTTATTCTCACTAGAGTCTTCTTCCTTTTCTGTCATCATCTTCTTCAGTTACAAGTTTGAACTCAGTCTATTTCTGTCTTGTTTTATCCAGTCTTTTCACATCACAAAAACATTTTTCCCTTGCTGTTAATTCTACCTCATTTTCTCTTTTTAGAAGAGCTGAAATCCTTTCTTCTTTGCCCATTATCTCAGACATTTTACTTTATTATAGAATGTTTTCATCCCCAGACCTCAGCATTGACAGACTTTCAATTCTTTAGCACTCTTATGTATAAGTTCTAGTGACTTACAGCTGCTGTCATGTCAGAAGGGTTGAGATTATTTTGAGATTTTGCCTATGTTGCCCTTACTGAAGGACTGATAAGAACAGTGAAGGTAGAGGGCAAAATTACTTGCTTCTATGGTCTGGACTATCTCTAGTTGAAATTGATGTAGTTTCTCTTTAAAGTGTCAGGAAGAGTACATTTGGTGTCACAGAACCATGAATTGTGACATGGACTTTGGAGTTCAGTGATCTGTGGCTTGCTAAGGAATATGGAAGTCAGCCAGAAGATTTCTTGATTTTTTTTTTCCAAGTTTTTTTAGGCTTTTCAAATTGATAAGAGCATTATTTGTGCTCCACAATACCAGAGTGAAGTGGGTAAATATCTTTTGCACTCTTGGTGGACTTCTTTAGAATCTAGCTGTCTGTTGTGCATTACCTCAAGGGTCACTTTTCGTATTTCTTCTCTGATGTGCTACATATTCTTGGAAATCTCACTGAAAATCTATATCATCTCTTTTCACGGGTGCATTGTGAAGCTCAAGGAAATATGTATTAAGTGTAATTAAAATTAGGTCTTAAAACCGCTGCATTCACAATTGCTATAATAAAATACAAGCACTGTTCATTTCAGAACTGTGCTTGCTGCCCTGGAACTTTATATAGAGTAATACTGTCTTCAGTAGTTTCTTCAGAAGGTGATTTTTGTACTTGCAGTTCATGTTCCAAGTTCTGGAGCACCCAGATGGGAAAAGGTATTGAATGTTCTTTGTCTGACTCAAACCTTTAATCTGTATAAATTAAAGAGCAATTGTATAGAAATCGAATACCATATGTTTCTATTTCTGTATGTTGGTGAGTTTTGGCAAAGAGGGCCTCCATCAGTGAGTGGGTATTCCTTTATGTGTGTGCGTCAAAATAATAGGCAGACTTCACTGCATGTGTTCCACAATGAAATATTTGTCCGACATTCAAGTGAAACAGTACCGCATCCTGATGCTTCTGTATTGTATTTCATGGTTTAGTTTGTTTACTCCAAATACGAGGGTAATTGGTCTTTTTGGGAATTATTGTACTGTATAATTATAGTTCTTCCCAAAGAATAGCTCATGAGGCTATCTTGATAATCCCAGGGATCTTCAGATTGCACTTTTATTCTTGCAGAAAATAATAAAACTATCCTGACTTGAGAGACATTTTTATACTCTTATGTACTGTTAAAGAAATTTGTTGGAATTCAAATTTGACTGAGCAGAGAGGTAAGTTTGTGATCCTCTTACTTGTTCTAGGATATATGTCTCCACACCCATCTCCACTAGGAGCACCAGAGCATGTGTCCAGTCCCATGTCTGGAGGAGGGCCAACTCCACCCCAGATGACTCCCAACCAGCCAGGACCGATTATACCAGGAGATCCACAAGTTATGAATCAGCCTAACAGAGGTCCTTCCCCTTTCAGCCCTGTACAGCTGCATCAGCTGCGGGCTCAGATTCTAGCATACAAAATGTTAGCTAGAGGTCAGCCTTTACCAGAAAACCTCCAGCTTGCTGTTCAGGGCAAGAGAACCCTGCCTGGCATTCAACAGCAGCAGCCTCCCAGTGCCTTCAACAGACAGTCTGGTAAGTGAATCTAGGCCTTGAGTCATTGTGCAGGTGATTCTTGAAGTGCTACCTGTGGAAAATTAAGAAGTGGGTGCTATGCAGGGCTATGATTTGGGACTGTATTCTGGCATCTAAGTGAAGAGCAGCCTTTGGTTTTAAGCTTGAGCAAGTGCATAAAACACATCTGTTACTAATAGGATATTGTCAAAACTGAAATAAAAGTGATTTCCCTGCACAGTGCTGTGTCTGTCCTGATTATGCTCGACATTTTTGGAATGTTAATCGTACTTTACTGATGACAATTTTACTGTTTTTCTTAGAGTGAATTTTCAGTCTCCTGTTGCTATGCAGAAAAGTAGATAAAAAAATCTGGAGCAATTATTTACATTGTCAAAAGTAAAATCATGTATGGTGTGCTGTCAAGTGGAAAACATAAGGAAAAGAAAATGTTCTTATTTTTTCTCCTAATGATAATAGATGTTACAATGCAGTAAACAAGCACTTTTTGGTCCTAAGAACACTGTGTTACATTAAACACTGTGCACCTCTTGGTTTCTGAACGGAATTTGCATTATAAATCGAAGATTAAGATGATAATATTTTCTTTTTAGTAAGGATTTTAATAATTTCACTGGTCATTTAGATGGGTATGGCTTTGCTACCAAGTGAGGGTTTTTTTAGGAGACAGGAATTTGATATACTTATCACATATACTTTTTCACAATAATATCTACTTAAATCTGTATTTAATGAAGAAAAATTCTACTTGCTTGAATAGACTAGCATGCTAGAAAGCAGAATGATTTTTGAATACTTGGAAATGCTTTGTATCTTCATTCTTTCCTCTGTCAAATCGCAGGTATTGGGTTACATACAATGAGTGGCGCTGCAACTGGACCAGGACCTGCTCCAGGGATGCCTGGGCATACACCAGCCATTACCCCTAAAACTTGGACTGAAGGTGTAGTGGACTATAATTTTATGTCATGTAAAGTTATGGTTAAAAGTGTGGGTAGAGTTTGGGGAAAAGATGGGGGGGGGGGAGAGGGGGAGAAGGGAAGGTAAAAAGGCGTGCAGAAAAACAGTGTGCCTAGGACTTGAATCAAGGAGAGTCTAACCATTTATTCATCCGTGAATGACTTGACCACATGAAATTACTGCTGTTGTTAGACAGCCTGAACATGAACCACCTTTTTACAATCAGAATGAAATACGTAAGCTGCCTGAGGGACACCTGTAAAATGTACTTAATAAGTTGTGTTCAGAGCATGCTTAATTGCAGCAAGCTTGTCTTTCAACTGCAGTCATTGCTATAAACAAAAGTTCAAACCATGGTAAAATTAGGCTGCCTTTTTTTTTTTAAATTGAATTGCTTTTAAAGTTCGGTGTAGTCTTTGAGATCTAATGAACAGTGTAACTCTTTTTTTCCCCTGCATGATAGTGAGGTTTTAAATCAAGTCATTCAGATGATTCAAATTCAGCCTGATTTTATTGTTTGAAAGTAGATTGGAAGAAGTATTGTATTGAAAAGAATTAGAAATCCCTAGTAACATACATTGTTTGAAGTTTTGGGGGGTTTTTTAGAGTTAAAAATAAATAGAGTATTGCAGGCTTGCAAATAACACAGCCTTCTCATAAGATAGAAGTGTTGTGCTGTGTTGTTGCTTATGTGTAAATCTGGGGACAGTGATGATGCTGTGATAGTTGATGTCATAAAAAATTCTCTGTCATTAGTCAGCTACTTACGGCAACATAAAGAAAATGAAATACTAATGTGTAATCAGATGTAGAATTGCTTTTGTTGGAGTACTCCCAATGAGTACTTAACATTTGAGTAGGATAATAAAGAGGGGGAAAAGTGTTTCTTGAGAGGTTGTATGTATGAGTTTACCAGGCACAGTGCCTTCTAGCTCAAATGCTCATACTACAAAATGCTGACAGGTATACAGATTTGCTAGATGGATGGGTTTATGTAAATAATCCAGTAAGTCATAATAATGTGTCTGTCCTGTTTAACTACAAGCTTCTTACTGTGTCTTTTTTCATTGCTGTTTTTATTAAGAAGAAAAAATTTGTCTGTCCTTGCTCTATCTGTTTGGAGGTTTTATGTGATGTATTTTTAAAGATTGCACTTCTTGAAATTTATTTTTCATTCATTACGCAGTTGTTTGGGTAGTGTTTGTTTTACAGTTCAATTTGCATGATTCCCTGAAGACTGAGACTGCACAGAGGCTTTTGGTGGGCTTGCTTTCTTTCCTTATTTTTTATAAGCTGAAATGCAATGTTGCTAAATACAGAATCTGCAGCTTGTGCTCAAGTTCCTTTTCTGGAGTTTGTGCAGATGCGTGAATGACAAATGGTGATCTCTGAAGGAATCTTTTTATCTAGATTTTAGTGTGTTGGATTTGAGTTAAGGTTGATTACAATATTGCAGGTGTACTTTGTAGGTTTTTTTTCCTAGCACTGAATTACTATGACTCCTCTGACAATTGACATCTTTATTGTTGCAATGTCTGTTGTCAGTGACAGTTTTTGAACATCTGAATGTGTGGGTGACTTGTTGTCATAATACCATACTGAAATCTATGGCCTTTAGTCATAGACCCATGCTATTTTCATGTTAACTGAGGTGTTAATTTTCAAGGCTATTGGGAATGCTGTAAGATAAAACAGTAACCGGATTCGTGGTATTTGAAATATTTAAATACAATTAATAGGAGATCATAATGAAATGAAGGCTATATATATATATACTGACTTCTAAGTACAGTTCTAGAAATTTTGATGTGGCTATCTAGTTCTGATAGAGCTCTTAAAACCAGACCTAAATGTGCTTATTGTCAGGTTGTGATTATAGTTGCCTTCTAAGAGGTGCAAGGATAGTGAACAAGAGGTAGAATTAGATCCTGCACTTGCATGAAATAATTTCTACAGCTGTTTTACTACTTCTAATGCTAGAATTAAGTCATCAGGAATGGGAAAAGAAGTAACATGAAGTTTCAGGTGTTTTTCTTTGGAACACTTCCTGCAATGTATGGTATACTTGCATTTTAGTATGTTTTTTTAAGTATGCAGTGTAGTCTATCTCCATGTGCTTTTTCTGTGATTTTGAATGTTTACCTTAGCTTCACATTGTGTCTTTGGAAACTGTCTTTGTTTTCTTCCTGTGTTCCATATCCATTTTATGAATAAGTACTTTTTATGATTCAGGCCAAACCCCAGATCTGAATGTCTCCAACACGCAGCAGAAGCTTCCTGCGCCACCCCCTAGTGGGAGGCCTTCTCCTGCCCCCACAGCTGCCCAGCCTGCTGCCACCATGCCTGGGCCTTCTGTGCCACAGCCACCACCTGGACAGCCTTCGCCCATTGTTCAGCTGCAGCAAAAGCAGAATCGCATCAGCCCTATCCAGAAGCCACAAGGATTGGATCCAGTTGAAATACTCCAAGAACGTGAATATAGGTAAAAGTGAATAATAAGATTCAAATGCATCTGCATATTGTGATTTTTCACTTTCTGAACTTAAACTCCTTACAATCTACTGCTGTAGTGACAATAGTATAAACTGAGTTTCCAGAGACAGACCATGTCAAAGAGAAGTACAGAAACGTCAAACCAAACAATGATTTAATTCTACCCCAAGTTATGAACTAGTGAAGCATACTGACAGTATCATTGCAAACCTGGTAAGTTTAAAACAGGCTCAAGGACTCTGCTGGATTAGTGTATTACTTGGATGCTGCAAACACTGAAAGTTAGGAAATCGAAATGCTTGTGATCTACAGAGAAACAATTCAATGCAGAAATCTTTTAGTATTACAAACAAAAGGGGGGTTAGAAGAGAACAGTGGCCACAGTGAAAACAAATTTTAGTAGTGACGATGAGGTTGGCTGGATGACCAGAGAGTAAAGAGAATATTAGGGATGTTGCGGGCAAGATCAAAAAAAAGGTTACCAGGAAGCATAATCTTTCAAAGTTGCCTCCTGAGTGCCCTGATTAGATGATGATTTAGATTCATTACAAGGTATAGAGGATGACATTTCTTGTGGAGTTAGAGACTTCTTCCCTCTTCCCATCAGCAAGGCTATTAAACAATTGACTTTGAGAATTTGCCAGGCAGAAGGATCTTAACCTGCGTCAAAAATATATTCCTGATCATTATCAGTCAGAGGAAAGAATCTGCACTTAGTGTATTTGCTTGTTTTGGACTGATGATGCGTCTTCCAGTTACTCTAACAATGAGTATGTAGGGGAAGGTAGGCAAAAGGGATTGTGATTTCGGTGAAGACTGGTTTAAAGACCTTGGCTTTATGAAGGTAAAACACAATGAAGTGTTTTAGAATGTGGTGCCGTGTCCAGAATCCATGCTGTGATCCCAGAAAAGCTCTTATGTTTTGCATAAGATACTGCTTAAGTAACTCACTGGTGTGTTGTGGTCATTCTGTCAGTCTTACCCTTTTTACCTTAAGACTGAATGGCCATAGCTGTTTCGGCATGAGCAATCGCTATATCCTAACATCTTTTTCAGAAAGCTTGTAGAACACACCATTATGGTTTCACAGTTGCTTTGAGTGAAGAATTGTAGCACTAACCTGAGCCAAGAATCATGTGGCCAGTATAATGTAACCTTTTCTGCATCAGTTAACGTCAAATTGTTACTGGTCCTGTTTACCAGCCCTGCTCCATTGCACTATTTGTGGCAAACTGTTATGCCTTAGTATGTGTAAATGGAGGAAACTGAGGAGTGACAGAAAATAGTGGTGTTGCATTTACTAGTGTGGAGAACTGGTTGCAGTTATATCTATTAGGTTCTAAATACTCTACTTCTTGGCAGCGTAAGTGATATGGAGGTTTGATAGGGTTTCTGCAGCAGGAGTGTTTTGGGTTTTGTTTTTTGTGGTAGCACATAGATAATGATCCAAACTTTTAATTTTGAGCACTGCTGGAATTTGTTTTTGCTTTGCATGCCTGAGTGCTTAGAACTTCTGGAAGTCTTTTCGTTATTTAAAACTATGTAAGTAACATCAGACAAAAGCTTTGAAAAAAGGAATTTAACAGCTTTTATGCTTTGAATGGTGCTAGCCTTTGCTTTAGTAAAGGCAGGTTTGATAGAGAAACACAATGTATTCACAGTTTCTTCATAAAAAGGTAGTAGAAAAAAGCCAGTATAAACATTTGTGTCCTGAAAGCAGTGAAGTTAATGAAAGCTTTATGAAACAGTTGTCTCTTGAGATCTCTCAGGCCCTTAATAAAGGGCTGTGATATTTTGAAATACTTAGGAAACTGTTTGCATTACTAATTTTCGTTAAAAAATGGGATTATCACATAGGTATTTTAGGGATTCATAATTCAAACACACAGAGAGACCCAAAAGGTAAAATTCTGGGATACTGCCTTATTGTGTGAGTTTTGAATATGTTTAAGTTAGGAATTCTTGAAAATTACAGATTAGGTTTTCTCAAGTGACTGTACTTGTTTTGGCTGGGATAGAATTAAATTTCTTCATAGTAGCTGTTATGGGGCTGTGTTTTGGATTTGTGCTGAATATAATGTGGATAAGACACTGATGTTTTAGTTCTTGCTGAGCAGTGCTTACACAGCATCAAGGCCTTTTCTTCTTCTCACACCGCCCCACCAGTGCATGAGCTGAGGGTGCACGAAAAGTTGGGAGGGGACACAGTTGGGACACCTGACCCCAACTGACCAAACGGGTATTCTATACCATGTGATATCATCATGCTCAGCAGTAAAACTGAGGTGGGAGGTTGGCTGGGGACCGCAGCTTGGGGACTGGCTGGGCCTCTGTGGTAAGCAATTGTTTTCGTTTGCGTTGCTTGTCTTTCTTGGATTTTGTTTCTCTCTGTTATTTTTTCCTCTCATTTCCTTACAATTAAAAAAAAAAAAAATTTTCTTTTTAATGATTAAACTGTTTTTGTCTCAACTCATGAGTTTCTTTATCACTTTTACCCTTATGATTCTCCCCCCATCCCACTGGGGTTGGGGGGCTGGAGTGAGCGAGCAGCTGTGTGGGGCTTAGTTGCTGACCAGGGTTAAACCATGATAGTGATCTTGAACTTGATGTTCATGGACTACAGGTATGAAGTGTGCTTCTGGGGAGACAGTGATTTAGTGCTGATTCATGAGCTACGTGATAAAAAGTTAATTGCTGAGGTTTTTCACTGTTTTTCTTGTTGTATACACACCTCTGAAGTGCATAATGGCAGACTTTTGGGGGAAAATACATACTACTGCATACACATTTCTGTTTCTTCATGGATCATGTGCATGATTTGTGTATCAGAGCATGTCTTACACACAGAACAGTATTGTAGATGTGAAATACTTCAGGTTTTGCTATTAGGAAATTACATCTAATTATTATTCTTTTTTCCTTTCCTTGTTACTAGGAAGTTATGTAGTTTGTTTCATCAGATAGGCACTTAGAAGTACAGTGTAGCATTCGTATTCATTAGCTATGTGTTAAATAGACCAGTACCGAAGGAGAAGCAATAATGCACCTATTAACATATTGCAGGATCTGAAAAAACTTTGAATCTAATGAAACATCAGTAGACTGCTTTTTCTCCATGGAAGGTCTTGATCTGATTGTACAAAAGGCTCCAGTATATATTAGCAAAGAGAAAAAAAACGGAGAGTTAATGTTGCTGTCAACATGCAGGGTTATGCTGAGAAGCTATTTGCAGCATATGTTGATTTGAGATGATATTCTATTATAATTATTGTTAAACTCTGTGTGACTGAAGGTGGATAAAAGTGAACTTAGATATTTAAAATTCTTATCAGTATAAGAAGTTCAGATTACTCATGTGTGGAGAGCTGTTAAAGTTGTGTTCCTTGAAATCTGGCCAGAATAAAAAATTCATACTGTGCTTTTATAAAACTCTCCTTAAGACTTTTCTTCAAAATAAATGCTGCTTTTTAATCTCACTGAATAGATCTATTAAAGCTAATAATGTTTGTAATTTAAAGTTGTTTTATTATGTGGAAGGACTTTTTTCCGCCTTCTCATTGCTGATTAAAAAAAGTATACTTGCTAGTGTCCTGCAGATTGTCTGTGGTTTCTTTGTTATCTGCAAAGTCTCTTCTTATATATCTTCATGGCTCAAGACAGTTAGTCTTCTGCAGTAATGCAGCATTGTGACCTTTTTGTTCTTCCAGGAACATCAAAAGTCTTTTGGTGACGTAGAAAAATGCATAGTTTTAAAAAGTTTAGGAGTTTTAGGAAGGAGTACTGTTACAGAAGAGATACTGTCTGCAACTGTACAAGTGATTCCAGTTGCTTTGCAGATTATAAGTCCTGATGCATGTAGTTGCTGTGAGATACCAGTATTTTGGTTTGTTCTGATTCCATGTATCAGGTGCAGCCATTTTGCCTGATGTGTGATCTGCTTTCCAGTTGTGCAACTGATGTGTCAAGTTTATGAGAGTTTATGTCACTGTGCTAATACTGTGGAGCAATGAGGGGGCAAAAGGGCAGGGAAAGAATGATCACTGTATGCAAGGAAGCTCTATAGAAAGTGTTTGCATTCTCCCTTCATGGCAGTTCCAAAGTCCTCATTGCAGGAAAACAGCAGCAGACACCTTTTCTTAGTGTGAGCTGATGTTTCGTGCTTTGTGAAAGTAAAGGGAAATTTTGTGGGTCCCTCCCGTGTAGGGAGATGAGATACCTTCCTGTTCCTGGGCCTTTAGTTTTTTGATTATGGGAAACAAAGGACTCTCTGGGTTTGGGGGATGTGTGTGGGTTTGGTTTTAGTTGGGGTGGTTTGTTTTTTTTTTTAATCCTAAAGCATGTGGGAAATGGAGGGCACTGATTCAGATGAACTTAAATGCAACTTTTGGATAACTTAAAATTTGAGGATGTCTTGTTTCAGTGCCTTCACAAAATCTGCAGTTCACAGAAGTACTTGTAAATAAAACCACAAAAACTATGTGACTGTTAGCTCTGTCATCTTGGTTTTCAATGCAAAAAATAGCAAAAAACAAGTTCAGTCTGGCTTGTCCATTATTCTCTCTTTCTCTCTCAAATTTACAAATGAATGCAAAAGGAGCTTGTAAAGGAAGAGTGAAATAGAATCTGATTTACTGTGTAACAGCTATGTAAGTGTGAATACTTTACTAATGAACTTTTCATTTGTCAATAAAATAAGCAAGTAGAATTCCAGATATTAAGAAAAGTTCTGTCTGTGTCATCGCTGACTGCACTGTGCATAAAACAATACCCATCAAAGAAGCTTGAAATCAGAATGCTGTATAGGATGAGTAAAATAAAATTCCCAAGTTTCTCTTCACGCATGTACTTGTAGTCAAAATTAGAAGAAGGGCCAAAGGGTATTTTCATTATTTGACAACTTATTTTCAAAATGGAAAAGGATACCTAGTGTCATCTCTGCAAAAGCCTGTTAGTTCAGAAACAATTAGTAGAAGCAAAGTGATGCCTGAGGTAAATTGCCTATTTTTAATGTATGATCTTGATAACCAGTTACAGATTTCTCTTGGTGTCTTATCCAATTTTCTGTTTGCATAGACTTCAAGCTCGAATTGCTCACAGAATCCAGGAACTGGAGAACTTGCCTGGTTCTCTGCCCCCAGATCTGCGAACCAAAGCTACAGTGGAATTGAAGGCACTTAGGTTACTGAATTTCCAGCGCCAGGTAATGCCTTTTACTTCATAGTAAAAATTTACTTCATAGGAAAATTCTCATAGAGGTCACAGCCAAACATGTTAATGTAGCAAAGGGTAAACTGGCAAGAGATTTTGCAGCAGCGCTGAGCCTAAGCAGGAGATTTTGCATGAGGGCAGACTTGACTGATAAGCAAGTCAGAGAAATGTTTAACTTAGATGTTATTTTGTTTTCTGAATAAAAATGTCCAAGTGTTCTTTTTGCTTCCTGCTTTATCTTCCAGTCTAAAGTGTAACAATAGAACTGTGTCTTTCATAATGAATGTGGCATTGGCACAAAGACAAAACAAGAACTGGACAGGCTGCAAGTTGATTTTCAACACGAAATAGACACCTCTTTCCAGACATACTTTATATTTGTTGAGGGTCCCCCCTGTTTTAGTGTGCTGGTGTTGAGTGTGGTGTTTCTCTGTGATTTCTTTTCCGGATTTTCCACTGTGGCACAAAGGCTTTGAAAATTAAGTGTAACAAGATCATACTTAACATATAATTTGGATGTTGAGTGCATGTATCAGGAAATGAATTTCAGAAAAGGAATCACACTGCCAAACTCTTATGGGCCTCTTGCCATCGGCATTTCCAGCTAGTTTGGAAGAACAAAGATGTGATTTGGCAGGTCAAGCAAAAATACTTCCTGACAGAAGCCTTGGCAGTAGTTGTACCATGATGTCCAAGTCTTCCTTCCTTCTACCCTTGGCACTCCTTTGTAATGAAGTTTTGTCAGAGGTCAAATGAAAAGCAGGAGTCTCTCCCTGCTGTACTGTTGGGACTGTAGCAGTACTGTTCAAGGCCCTTAACATTTACCTCTCCCAGCTGTCTCCTGTGCAGCTAGTAATGAAATGAATTGTCAGCTGTGTTCAGGTCCAGCTCTAGAAAGTATGTAATGTATGTTGTTTGTTTGTGTTTTACTTCAATGGTGTAACATCTTGGCTAGCCCCTTTAATTACAGCAGGACAGTCATTTGCATCATCTTGTAAAGGAGGAAGAAATGATGATTAAGTGTGATTAACACTTTTGGCCATCCTGTGGGCACTTAAAATTTGTTTAGGGAGACAGACATAGCTGCTGCAACTGTGTAGGTGCTGGATCTTGTCAGAACTGTAATGGAAAGAGGAGGCTGGTACATCTTCAGGACTGTTACTGTTTTACTCTGCCCTAACAGTGTGTAAAGTTGCTCTTTCATATATTAAAAATGAATTTTTTTTAAAGTGTTTCTTTTTTCACCACTGGTAGCTAAGACAAGAGGTAGTAGCCTGTATGCGCCGTGATACAACACTGGAGACAGCACTGAACTCCAAAGCCTACAAACGAAGCAAACGCCAGACTTTGAGGGAGGCTCGTATGACAGAAAAGCTTGAGAAACAGCAGAAGATAGAACAAGAGAGGAAGCGTAGGCAGAAACATCAGGTATTTAAACTTAGTAGCTGTTTGCCCCGTGACAGAAATACACTTTGCTTTGCTGTGCGAGGGTCTTCTCTGTTACATAATTTATTTACCTTTGGTGTTTCTAAGATGAAAAAGACTCCAAATATTGTGATAAGCAGTTGGAAAACAGTAAGATTAGAATTTCTGTATTCCTAATTTCAAATCCTGTGCTTTGTCCAAATGTCTGCGCTAACTTGCTTCTCTTTCCAGGAATATCTGAACAGCATTTTGCAGCACGCTAAAGATTTTAAAGAGTACCACCGCTCAGTTGCTGGGAAAATTCAGAAACTTTCTAAAGCTGTAGCAACTTGGCACGCCAATACTGAGCGTGAGCAGAAAAAAGAAACTGAAAGAATTGAGAAAGAAAGAATGAGGAGACTAATGGTAAGGAGTAGAGGAAAGAATATAGTTGTTTTAGATAAAGTTACATATTGGATCCTTTTAGTATTTCATACACAGTCTCAGCCACACTCATGTGTTTCCTTTGCAGAATAAAGCCTCTGTAATGCAAAAAAGTATAAACCTAAAACTGCTGTAGTTTGATTATGTGTATTTCTGATGATGATAGGGAATGTGATACTGTTCATTTTAACCTGTAGCTACTTCTTTTTTTAAGGTTTTTGATGAGAATAGTTTTTTCTACCAGCATGAAAACAGCCGTTTCTGTATGACATCACTTAATGTCATTAACTTCGTACGCTAACACTGGTATATAGTTGCAGGGGTATTGGTCCATTATGTAAATAATGGACTGTGTTTTATTTCTAGGTTTATAGTTTTGAAGGTTCAATATGATTAACTTGTTCTCAGCATTACTCCACAATTTCTACATAAAGCTAGTTTCACATCTAAAAATATGTAACCTATAGCAGTGAATGCATATATCTTGAGAATTAATAGCAGTCGGTTCCTATCCATTGATGCTCCAGGGCCATACTCCTTCTTGGTGTTTCATAGTTTTCCTTTCCTTGCATCTGCCCAGTATCAGTTGTATTGTTCGTAGGACAGAGTAGAATGGGTTTGTGTATAACTATGTCTGTTCAGAATGCTGTGAAACCAATCAGTGGGCTGCCTGCATTTCAGGAGGTAGAATAATTCTGGAACTTAAAGTGCAGAGAGATTAATGCATATGTACAACTATGTTAGCAACTGCGGTTGGAAAATTTTCTTCAAGACATTGCTTAGCTCTTTTTTTAACACTTTATTAACCTTTACTAGAATTCCATGGAAATTGACATGCTTACTTTGAAACATGCTGGTAAAACGCGGTAAGAATCTAATATGGGTGCAGATGCAAAACTCTAGTCCCTGTCCAGAATCTGTTCCTGCGATGAATAAAGACTGAACAGTTTGGTTTTTTAAAAATCACAGAATGAAATGTAGAAATAATTAAATATAAAAATGATAAAAACTTAGAAACAAAAGTGCATGTAAAATGTAAATGAAGGACTTGCATAAGAGAATTACAAATGTTTGGGCCCTAGGATATTTCTTAAATTTGCATAGTAATCAACCTTATAGACCTTTTTCATAGAGACAATTGCCAACAGTCTATCTAACCAAGCTCGTAAAAATGTTAATCATTAGAGAAAAAAGAGCTGATTAAAAAATAAAGTAATCTTGATATTTTGGAACTATTTTTGAAAATCATGAGGTTGAGCTTATGTCAGTCTTACCATGTAGTATGATAAATAATGAAGATGTCCACTGCTGAAAAATATAAAGTAGATTTGAATGTCCAGAAATGGCACAGGATACCAGTGCTTCCAAAATATCATAGAACCATAGAATCATTCAGGTTGGAAAAGAGCTTTGAGATCGAGTCCAACCGTAAACCCTGCTCTACCAAGTACACCCCTAAACCACATCTCGAAGCACCACATCTAAACGACCTTTAATAAACACATTAAGGGATGGTGACTCAGCCACCTCCCTGGGCAGCCCATTCCAATGTGTGACAACCCTTTCAGTGAAAAAATTTTTCCTAATGTCTTGCCTAAACCTACCCTGGTGCAGCTTGAGTCCATTCCCTCTTGTTCTGTCATTAATTACCTGTGAGAAGAGACCAGCACCTACTTCTTTACTATGTCCTTTCAGGTGGTTGTAGAGAGCAATAAGG